CTGCAGCAGTACCCAGACAAACGAGTCGCGAACTGTGCGCAATCTTTCCTACCTCTTCCCTTACATACAGCTCACACTTACACTTGCGTGCACCACACTTCCATGTCCACCACTCTCTGATACCACTCTGCAGTTTAGAGCACGTCCCGTCTGGAGCCTTGCCTGGCTCATGTGAGTTGGCATGATAGCGGGAGGGGGGGACCCTAACCGACACGACGGTCAGCGCTGGGGCTTTCTAAATATATTTCTAAATATATTTCACTTTTTAAATGAAGCACATTTTTTGTGCACTAAGTAAATAATACAAACATTTGTTGTGTCGGTTCCTCGCAGCAAATATGACAACCAAACTTGGCAGTTTTCAAGCTCTGAAACCAAAACGTCTCAGCAATGAAATTCATATTAGGGTTTTTCGTCGGATTCTTTTTGAAGCGTAGTTGCGTTTACAATACAATAAAAATACCACCTTACCGCCAAAGGTGGCTCAGGGCATCAAATGATGTTACTGCAGTGCCTGTGACCGGGAGATTCTAGGTTCAAGTTCCGACTGTGGCGGGATTTTCGACACCAGCTAGTCATCTAGGTCGAGTTCAGCCGTTATCTGGAGAAGAATTTAAGCGGCCGGCTGCTCTGATAGAGAGTTTCCCGCGGTTTCTCCAACAAACACCAGGCGAATACCGGAGCAGTATTGTAACAAACGGGCCACGGACCGCGCGCGATATTACCTTCCTCTTCTTTGTCCTTTCCTCCCCCTTACGTACACACACTTACACTCGCATGCACCACACTACCATACACGTCAGTAGAGCAGTCGGGAGCTTATAGCATGTTTCGGCTGCGGTGGTGCCACGCTGGTGGGAGATATTTGGAGAGGAAAATCCTCATAAGCCGACGTAGGCCCGCGCTGGATCTCGCCATCTACCAGGGGGAGATCGCCGCCACATCTTGCGATATAAACATGCACTACACTTACGGGACTGATGACATTAGAAGTTGACGCTCCCGAAATCACTCATTAATTAATTAATTAATCATGAAATTATCCCTAACGGTGCGGAAATATTCTATCTTTTGGAGAAAGAAAACTACGCTGGAGTCCACTGCTGACGCTCCACCCCCCACATTGCAATGCGCTCGTTAACCTTGTTCATTTGATGGCGATCACAACCCAGAACACAGAAGCTCGTCCCCAGCGACGTCTCTACTTCTCCGTCACCCGTTCTCCGTCTGAAGTAGGGCGCGTCGGTCGTTCGCGGAGAACGGCAGCTTCTGGTCGACGATTCTCGAAAGTCGAACGCAAGAACGAGCGACGCGCTCCGGACGCAGCGTGGGCAAGGGCGACGAGACGCGGGGACAAGGGGGAGGCAGGAATGCAATTTGAGGACAGCGCGAGAGAGCACGGCCAGATTTCTTCATATTCCCGCCTCGTGCCATCTCAGTTCACTGCGTCTCACACATCAGACAGTCTAGACCACGTATCGTTGGAGTTTTCTTTTTGTTAAAAATTCTGCGTCAAAGATCTGGGGTATACCAGAAGGCGTGAAGTTGGAAAAAAATATCGTAACAAGTCTTCTACTAGTCTTTAAGTTCTCGGCCGGAAGGTTAACAACACGGCTCCGCTATCGCTCTTCCTCGCAGTTAAATTAAAGGCCAATTATTTCGCAAATAATTGATAACAAAAACAATAATTTCGCAAAGTTTCGTAGTGCTTCTCTGCATTTTGTAGTGCCTTGATGAATTGTTATAGGGAATCAGGGGCGATTTTCCAGGTTATTCTCAACAAAAATTTTACATTTTTTTACTCTAATACGAGGAGAAATTATTCCAAGAACAATTTGATGGTTTCTTATAGGCTATAAGGGAAGAGGATACCTTAAATTTACTACATGGTTGAAAGAAATTTCCAAAGTGTGGATGAAAAGCGGTTCTCACATCCTGAGAGGCACCTTTATTTGGATATAAAGACCGTTGAAATACCAGGGAGTGAATGAGTTGGTCCTTTAAGTATGAAATTTCTTTGAAAAGAGTAGAGAGCGGGGGGAAGGTTGAGAAAGTGAATTTTTTCTAGAATATTCTATTATGAAAAATAGTATAACTAATCACAATGCAAATAACATAAATAACAACATATTTTCTGTGTCATGTGATCAGAAAGTCGTAACCAAGGAGGTACAGAAACGTCTTAAATACAAGAGTGGGGCGTAAAAATTCAGATCATGCAATAATCATTGAAGCTCTGGGATTTGTTCCGAAAAAAATATGTAACAATTTGTTGAAACCCTGAAATCATTCAGAAGACTTGAGAGTGCAGGCGGCTCTGAGACAATCAATCTCCTCCTTAGGAGGGTGGTTCCAACCTGGTGTTTTATATTTACCCGACACCTTACATCCTTAGTGGTGAATTAGATGATGATTAAAATAATAAACATAATAAACATAATAAACATAATAAACATAATAAACATAATAAACATAATAAACATAAT